GGGGGGGGGGGGGGGGTGCGGGTCGTCCGGGTCCAAGTGGTTGTGGGTGTTGGCGGTCCTGATTGTGGTGGGGCCGGTGGTGGTGGCGGCGCCGGCAGGGGCACTGGCCGTGGCGGCGGCGGTGGGTGCGGCGGCATAATCTTGTTACTTCTCCGTGGCAGTTGGGGGGGCGATGCTGACGGTGCATACGACATACGTGGGTGACGGCGACCGTGGGGATGACGGAAGAGCAAGCGCGGCCGACGACAAGCACCACGAGCATGCCGACTAGGCTCATGATGTCGATGTCGGTGATGTTTGCGCTTGTTTCTTGCCGCCTCCGACTCAGTAGCTGGTAGCCAGCATGTCGAGGCTGCAGCCTCTTCCGGTCGCTGTCACTAAGGCGATCGGTGGAGTTGTCGTCCCTGTTCTGAGATCCACAGGCACTATCAGACACTGCAAGAAGACAAGGTTTGGCCGACGGTTGTATAGACGGTTGAGAATCCGGCTTTGGGAAGGTGTGACTCATGAGGTTCGCAGAGCGGTTTCCACATGCGTTGAGCAGTGGTCAGCTCTGTTTTTTGCAGCACCATCGAGTGTTACTATGATCTGTAGTATAGGCCTGGAGACTCCGAAGGGTGATTGAGACCATTGGCGTTTTGAAGCCCTGCATGCCTGGCTCTGACAGCTCATTTGCGGCCAGGGCAAGACATGGTCTCTCTGGGTTGGCTCCAATCAATATTGGTAATTCGGGCTCTCCGCTTGCTTCTCGGCGTTTGTGGCAATCCGAATTGGCAGTAAGTTGAGCATCTGTTAAGTCTGGATACTTTTCCCAAAACACCGAGATTTGTCGTGAAGCCGTTTCAGCATTTGGAGTGTCCGTCTGAATAGCATACGAATCGGCAGGACTGCCACTCGAGCTAATTCGGTTACAGGTCTCTGGCCAAAGAAGCGAACCAAGAACAACGCGCTAGTCGTCTGTTCACTGGCGCGAGACATGAGTTTCATGGCCCTGCCACTATAAGCCACGCATCGTCTTAAGAGATGTCCTTCTGAAAACACGCAGCAGTTCTTCTGAGTTTGCTGGCTGTGCCACGATTCGGACTGTCATGACTGTCTTCATCATCATCGTGCCGGCATGGACGCAGCGGCATGCGCTGCCAGCATGGACGATATCTGTGCTGCTAGCACGGACGTTATCATCGCGCGGTCACGGATACGGCGACAGTGGATGTGCTGGCAGCATGGATGTTAGCATCGTGCGGGCATGGATGCGGCGACAGTGCTTTGCGGGGCACGTTATCATCGTGCCGGCATGGATGAGCATTGATGTTTTCATCGTGCGGGCATGGCTGGAAAAAGGCCGCTGCGTAACCAGAGTGCTTGCGGCCACGATCTCATGCGTTTACCAGCTAATTTTAAAAAGGCACGCGCGACCTCGAATGTTCCCAAAGCAGTGCCCCTGCCGACGAGTGCACATAGCTCCCGATTGCTGCCACTGCACGTGAACAGCCGACTGGAGAGAAGATTCAACGACCAAACCACGTCATGAAATGAGGAGGTCCAGGCATCAACATGCAAGCAGAGGCACATGCAAGGACGGTCTGACTAGCTTTCCGCAGCTTGTTTTCCTGAAGTAGAGACCGCTACTGAACAGCTCTGGACGAGGACTTTCGCAAGTGCATCTGATGTTTCAGGCGATGGCATACATCACACATCGCCGGAAGGATAGCTTGAGGCAAGCCTTAGATCATTAGATCTTGGCACACTGCGCTGCACCGCAACCCACCGAGGTTGCGGCTCGTCCGGGCGCTGCGGGCCTTGACTTACTTCCGAACAGCATCCTGGACTGTCTGGAGAGAGCAAGCACAACTTATGTGGCTTCGGGCGTTAGCCAGCCAGTTGTGAAGCCGCTGCGAAGATGCTGATGACAACCACGAAGATACTGAAGATAGAAGAGAAGAAGAAAACACTCAGTGACGGTGATGCGCTCATGCTTGTGTTGACACGCTGTTTTGCTCATTGTTGTGTTGATTATGATGCGGATGTGCCTTGATGATAATGATATAAAGTCATGATCACGATGTTGATGACTTGATGACGATGATGATGACGACGATGATGATGATGGTGGTGATCTGGATGATTCTGGCTGTTATTACATGAACGACATTCGATGGTGCTGCTGTTGACAGTGATCTCGCTGATAATGGTGATCATCGACATGATGAACTCAAAGTAGGTGTCCTTGCCTCACGTTGAATGTCAGTTGTACCAGATTCGTCTGGGTGAACGCATGGCAAGTGTGCATGTATGGGCGAGTCCGTGCAGGTCTTAAAGACGGAAGGTAGTCGCTACGTTGAGGCGACATACTCGGGCCACACCTGGGACATGACGAGATGGATCCCCCAAGCGACGAGTGGGGATCAAAAATGGAAGAAGGACATGGTTGGTCGGCACGGCTGCTTGCCGTGCCCTCTCGCTTCGAGACGGAAATGCGAAGGCAGTCGTTGATCGAGGCTCCATCTCTTGTCTTGGAATGGACCAGACCTTTCCTGGGGGTCAAACGACATACCATGATTCAGCAGATCCGTTTTACTGTTGATCTTTGTCAGCAGACCCCAGGAACAGGAACTTCTTCAGCATTACACGGTGCAGTGCATTGTGGCATGTATATACTTGCTTCTGCCATAAGGTCTGGCGCTTGGTGCACGGACTTCTGACTTCCTGGAATGCTATGTTGTCTACTCTTGCCGGGGTCTCAGCTCAGGAAAAGACGCTTTAGAAGTGATTCAGGGCACTGGGGACTTCGAGTTGCCGTTGTTAATGGCAGTCGCAATCTTTGGGCGCGGAAGTCTCCATCACAGCGCGAGTCCTCAAGGACAAGTAAGCTGCCTCCGTGCCGACAACGCATTGCCAACTGTGGTGCAACCGACCGAAATGCGCAACACACGTCACACGCCATGCTGGAACAGAGCCCACACCTGCAGCGAGCTGTTTCGCACCTGCTGCAAGCATTGGCGGATAAGGTTGGTTTCGAAGTTTAAAGCGATGTGGGCTTGGGGCCTCTCATTCTCGGGATGACAGCTTTGAGCCTTCTAGCCAGGGGCAAGCAGCATCTGATGGAAGCTGTTGAGCATCCCGCATGATTTTGCTTTCACGTTCTGCACGGCACGGGTCAGTGCTTGTCATCTCCAGCAGGCGCTCATAACGCTGACACTGTACACGTCGGCCTGCATCGCCATAGCGACTCGGCCTGCAGCAGAGGCTTGTGCACTTTGTGCACATCTTCTGCTTATGACCCGATGGCACACAAAAAGGAAGCAGCCGGCGAACTTGAGAAGAGAAGATCGTTTTTTCATGACAAATCCAAGTAGTGAATTAGACCAGTCCTGGCCGCCTCTGGAACGCCGAGCTCTGCAAGGAGATCGTGACAAAGGATGTTGAGCTCAACAGCAACCCCAATACTGCTCCAATCGTGCAAGCAAACTTCAGCAGCCGGGACCTCAGCTCAGACCATGGCGCAGGCTGTGGTAGCTCCGTCTTTGCCCATTCTGCAATCCGATCTGCCAGCTTTGCCTTGACGTCATCGGTCACAGGCCTTGGAACGACTTTTCTCACTCTGACGCAGTTCGTCGCCCTAGACAGCGCAGCGGCAGTGTACAAGCCGAGTCTTGGTTTGCAGAGCGACAGAGTTTAGACAAAGAGTTTACCCCCAAGAGCGTCTTACAAGTCTTATTATGCCATCGTAAAGCTTCCGGAGCCGCGCAAACGCAAACGGCTGTCAGAGTTCTTTGGCTTCCCATCGTGGGGCGGAGTGCCAGGCTTGTAGAGGCGAAGCCTATCCTGATCTTCTACTTTGGCGCCATCGTGCTCTTCGTGTCAATCGCACTGATGTGCCTCGGTTACCAGTGTGCATGCAGGGTCATGCATGTACAGGGTCTGCAGCAAGTTCTCCACACTTTAGACGTGGCAACATTAAATTAGATTTACTGGCTGAATTCAACATTGCTCCGGTCTCAAGTCTGAGTTGTTGGTTCCGATGTCGTGCGACGAGAAGTGCGCTCCAGTGTACATGGTCATTGGTCTTTCACTGTGTCGGGCCTACGCTGGCAAAGTTATGTATGTGTTCATTCGTGTTTGCACAGTTATCAAATGCGCAGTACATGCACAAAAATACGTACATGTATACAGATGCAAAGGCACAGTTACTAATCACACACACACACACTCACTCTCTCTCACACACACACACATGCGCGCACAGCGACGTGCATCGATCTTTCTTGTCATATGTGCCTATCTGTCTATCTATCTGTCGGTTTGTCTGTCTATCCATCTACTGTAATTGCCTGTCTTTCTATCTATCTACCTATCTATCTATCCACTGTAGATGCCCATGTACTGTACCTGTAGATTCGCATAATATGTATATGGGTATGGATACGGATGTACATGTGCATGTATGTATGTGCATATGTATATATTCTTCTGGATATGTATCCATGTCTGTACGAGTATGTGTATGTGTATATACGGTAAAACCGACGCCGTAACAGGGACTTGTTCACATAGAGTTTGGTAGATTCAGCCAGTCAGTCCATCAGTCGGTCAGTCAGTCAGTCGGGCAGTCAGCCAGTGCTTGTGGGTGTGCTTCTTTATGGTGTTTGTTGTGTGTGTGTGTGCATGCGTGCACGCGTGTCCCCAATTTACCTGCTGCAGGCTGCAAACTGCAAGCACTGCAAAGGTGGTGTGACATGAAGCAATGTAAGGCTAAAGCGCATACTCTGACCAAGGGCACAGTGCATGTACATAGTTAGGGGCCATTGGTAACAGAGTGGCCATGGTGCACCTCACGAAAAGGCACTGACATTAAGGCACTGGCATTGTTAGGATGCTGACGTCAGCATATCCAATGCCAGTGGAAGGTCCAAAAATGGTCACTGATGATGAATAAAACCGCATTTGTGTCATGTCCGATTACAGCTGCAGGCCCCTAGACGAATGCACAAGCAGACCATGCCCAAGTGCCCTGCAAAAGCTCTCTTTCGATTGATTCCTGGAAATTCTGTGTCAATTTAACACACAGACCTGTCACCTCCTGTCACCAAGGTTGTCACTCCCGTAAACTCGACTAAGTTGGATTGTAACAGACCTCGGGCATCGGTTTGGAGTTTGAGAGTCCATAACCCAATGGTGCAGGATGGCATGACTGATTTGTGTCCCGTGTGCCCAAAGTCGCGTCAGTGGCTCCACAATCGGTAGCTCCCTCCCGAAGCAGACAACACCTCAGTGAGGAATCTCGTGACAGCGGTGCTCGTGGAAGGCTTCTTGGATGCAACGTTGAGGTTTGATATCTGGATTGCGGTGCAGATGACATCAGCGTTTTCTTCTCCAAGGCTTGCGATCGACCTTTGTTTGTTTCTCTTGGCTTCTGAAAAAGGGGACATCGGAAGCAATGGTGCACCGCTTGAACTCTGCGAACTCTGATGCTGCATGGTGTTCCTTCGCCAGTTCAAGTTCACCTTTGACCATCTTGGCAGTGTGTCTTGCCTGCTGCCATGCTTAGTCGGGTGTTATTGCCGTTGCAGGTGCGTTGAACCATGCTCAGTCCGATCGGGACCTCGAGAAGATCGACCGAAACGAGCGTGACTCGACTAATGGAGCTCGTGTCGGTGCGGATGCGGGAGGGGGGGGGGGGGGGGCNNGGGGGGGGGGGGGGGGGGGGCATCGGCATGTCTTGAATGCGCTTGCCGCTTTCTCAACCACGCTTCCAGTTACAGCCGTCGTAGGCTTGCGCTCTTCGGACAATCACATGCGAGGTTTGAGCAAAGCCCTCATCCGCTTGGTCACTTTATTCGGCGCAGCGTGGCAGCAGCCTTGCCACCTGTTGAAGCTTCTTCCGAGCTGCAGGTTCTTGTTTGTGTGTGTATGTTTATCAGGGCGCAGCTCCTCCGGCCCAACAGGTTTTACTCGTACAGGCATTGTACGTTACACAACTGTTCACCGAGTCGAGCGCTTGAATGCCGCCGTCAGCGGAATGATCGGAATGTTTCTGACCGTGCTGAGGACATGGACAAAAACCGCGATGGTACCGTCACGCTGGAGGAGATGCAGGCCTCCGGAGACTCGGACTCGGAGCAGTCGCAGACCACTTTTAAGACCTTCGCGTCGTCTCTGGCCTCGAGATTAGTTAAGCACCTGTAGGGAGTCCACCTGGGTGCAACTGCTCATGAGCTCACACGCTGCTGCTTCTGCTTGCCAGGCTTGCACGCGATGATTGGCTTATCCTGTGCGACATGCAATCACTCAAAGTCAGGTCATTGTAAGCACACGACTGCGCCTGAGGTATATATGGCCCTGACATAGAGACATCGGCATCCCTGAATGTTCGGACTTGCCGCAATTTGTTGGTCAGGACACGTCAGTATACACAGCCATAGTTACGTACTTCAGAGCTCAGCCCTCATCAGTCCTGTAGAATGCCATGCAGGCAGTGCCTCCAGATCTGCTTCCACCCGAAATCTTTGAGAATGACCTGGCAGTCACGATCGCGGAGGCACACGAATAAAATTGGAAATTTCGGATACTCGGTTTAGAACATACTCCGGACATGTGGCATGCAGGGAGGTCAGGGAGCGCATTTGGACTTTCTACTTTAGGCATCCGGTATCAAGTTTCGGATCGTGGCTTGAAGGCTTTTGCAAGCTGCGTTGAGCCTGCGCGGGCTTCGGAAGCCCGCCCCAGGTGTGACTGCTTAGCTTACTTGCTACATCTGCTTAAGAGGAAATGCCCGGATGGAGCTGCAAGATCCTTGCAGACAGAGGTGCTTCCCCGGCATGTTCTCAAGCCTTCACCAGCAAGACCCAGTTAGACAAAGAGACCGGAGAGGTCTTTCAAGTCTTGGATGTCGACGATCAGGGCACGCTCGACCAGCGAGAGCCACTCGATCTGAATTTGGCCCTTGAGCAGGAGCCTTTCTGGTCACCTCTTCTTTCTGATCCATGCTATTTTGGCATGTCAGTATCTTTTGAGTTTGGAGGATGTCGCTGGAGGTGAGCGGAAAACTCTTCACTTGTATTGCCATGCTTGCACGGGCAATCATCCATGAAGTCTTCTTGCACTTAGGTTCGTTGAGGGCTTGCTTGCGGTTTACCTCCAAGATATGCCACTGGCGCAGCTGGAAACGCTGAAGCTCCTCCAGAAGCAAACTCGCAGCACGGAAGTAGGACGGGTTTGGATGGTTGCTTTGGGCCGACTGGAGTCTTGCGTCTCCCAGCATGCTTGTCCCTGGAAATTTTCCACTGTACCGACGAGCTGCTCGCATCACAGGCAGAACAACAGGCTGGATGAGATTTACAAGGCCCAAGGGCTTCTGCAAGTTGGGTAGCAGTGCGGGAAGATCACGGCTTCGATTGCTTCGATTGGGTTTCGGTGTCGGATTTGATTTATGTGGTTAACCCGGCTGCATCAAAAGCTTGCCTGACCAAGCGGGCAATCCATGCAGCAGCAGCCAGATTCCAGTCCAGTGGAATTTTCCTGGGCAGCCTCAGACATGAGGTAAGGAACAGATCGGCGCGGCCGCACATGATTGAGCATGTGCAAGCTTCGTAGTTGAGGGACTAATAAGATTGCATCATGGCTTCAGGGCCCTGCTTGAAAACCAACGGCGCTAAAGTGAATCAGTTGATCTGTTCCGGATTTCCTGTTCTAGATCTAAGTTGCAGGTCCTTCGGCCACGATGCCAAATGTCAATGAAGGACCAGCCCACGGTGGCGGCTTCTTGGAAGGATTTGCGAAGAATTTTGATCCACGCTAGGTCTGTCGCGTAGCCTGCAATCGACCTGCCAAGAAAACCGCGATTTGTTGCATGTGTTCTAAATGCGTAATCTGCCAGCGCGAGCCCTTTTCTGCAGAGTTCGGCACTGGCTGGGTAAATGGCGGAGACAGACCACCAGATGCCGCCGTTGTGAGGTTTGACAACGACGGCGCACTGTTCTGTATCCACGGCTGCCGAGTCCATTGGTCTATAAGTCGACAGCGACATGGGAGAGGTTAGAGAGTGGTGCTAAGGCTCACCCCCTCTCAAGCCTTGGAAAACAGACAGAGATTGGCCGCGATACTCCATTATTCATACCTACATATCTGATTCTACATATATATATATGTAGATACATACATACCTACATACATACATACGTATATATACATATACAGAAACACGTAGAAACACATACGTGCACACAGGCTCACAGACACAGAGAGCTACGTGTCTTCCGTTTGAGTCTGGAGACCCTCCTTGTCTTTGCCCAGGAGGAAGCCAAGGCTTTCCTCTTTTGCTGGTTTCTCCGCTGGTCCCAGGAGGAACCAAAGCGGGGGCCGGCCTCGAAGACAGTTGATGCCAGGGTCCGTCATCCCCACACCCATTCAAAAGCCCATGAAACTCCGAGAATGGTTGTAAGGGGGCCCATGTGCAGTTGAATTCGTCACGATAGCTCTGCACGGCTGCGGCTCCTGTTTGCGAGCATGGCTGAATGGCCATGTCTCGATACAGCATCGGCTTCCCCGGAGATGTCTTGCAACTCGTGGTGACAAAAACGACAATCACTCCCTCAGGATTTTCCTAGCAGCCTGCCTACATCCGAGCTAGTGCGCTCTGGTCAAGTCAACCCTGAGTGAAGCTCAAAGCAGAGAAGGACTTCAGAGTTCAGGGGCCATCAAGCTATGATGCTCCCGCGACGATCGGACGACAACGAGCAGTTACTTTCCCTCGCATCAAGATAGCAACCCTGAGGGTGATGCTGCCGATTGCGGCCGTCACGCCGCGGCAGGCCGGGAAAGTTATGGTGAAACATAATTGTAGATCCATGTGTGTGTGTGTACATATATATATATATGAGAGAGATTGGTGAACAAATAAGGGCATGCATGTATATATATATATACATACATATATACACACATACACATACACATAGACACACACACACACATATATATATATCTATATATATATATCTATATATATATGAGAGAGAGAGAGAGAGGCGCCTCTAGGGTCTATTTGACGCCCTATTTCTCTCCTTTATGATTAGAGGGAATATAAATAATTCAAATAGCTAAAATGATTGAAATCAGCAGGGCCGATTTCAATTGTTTCAATTATTTGGCTCACCCAAATTTTAATTGAAATAATTGAGATCGGCCCTGATGGTTCCAATTATTTCAATGATTTGGGCCACGCAAATCATTGAAATAGTTGAGATCGGTGGGATTGGTGGGCTTATCCCCTGAACCCCACGATTTCAATTAATTGAAATAATTGAAATAATGTAAATAGTTGAAATATTTCAATTATTTCAATTATTTCAATTTGGGATGGCCAAATAATTGAAAGAATTGAAATCGCCCCCCCCCCATTTCAATTATTTCAATTAGTTGAAATCGGTGGGACGGGTGGCTTAACCCCTGAACTCCACGATTTCAATTAATTGAAATAGTTGGAATAATGCAAATAATTGAAATATTTCAATTACTTCAACTATTTGGGATGGCCAAATTCCGGAAGAGATGGTCGCCCAGCTGCCAGAACAAACTGGTGCTGTAGACCAGTCAGGTCGCTTGTCCAGTCGATTATGGAAGATGCCCACGGAATCTACAACGGCTACATCTGCAGGCAGGATCTGTCCGATCTTGACTCACTCCTCCTGTTGTGTTCCCTAGGTCCGCTAAGACTCAGAGCTCCAGATTCCAGCAGGATGGAACAGGCGCCATATGTATTTTGTCAGCATGGTGGGCACGGGGGTATGTCGCTGATCAGTGATATTGTATACATGCTTGTGCAGTCTCCGATGAGGCCGAATGCGGGACGTGCGTCTGGTGGACGCCTTCAGATCCCTCGGACTGAAACTGGCCTACGAGAACGACGGCCCCTTCTACGCCATCGAGGATGGCCGACGAATCCTGTCGAGTATCGGGCTTCTAGACTGCATAAGAACAGACCCCCACGAACACATGTTGGCCAATTCGCAATCGTAATACATGTACTGCAGGCGCACCATCGATGTGGCCAAAGACTCCGAAATCCATGAGCCTGGTCTCTTCATCCTATTCGCGGCCGGACATTTCACGGCACTTCGGTTTCTGGGTCCGGACTGCTGCATTATCGGCCTCAGCCACCGTTGCCACGAACATATGGAAATCCATCCCACCCGGTGCGACCTCACACGGTTCGAAGCAGTGATGAGGGTCATTTCTCGTACATCCACATCGTCTTGTGTTTTCCTCGGTGGCGCGGTGCCTTTGCAGCACTATTTGCATTATTCGAGACCATTCTGTTCCGAGCTACTATGTACACTTATTAGCACTCATATACATGCGACACTCTCACGACAAGCTGGGAGCCCCTGTACTGCAGGCGTCCTTTCCAGTGGATGTCAATGAACTCACAGGCGAAGGTCGCTTGAATTGTGTGATCGAGTAAGTGCGAGTGGTAAGCATGGATTCCAGCAGCCTGTGTATGCCATAACGGAGAAACTGATGTGAGGTGCAGAAGCCGTCGGATTGAATGTCGCAACGTCCATGGATGTCGATGAAGCTGCCGTGAATGAAAGAAGCCCGGCATTCCATACTTATACTTACCTTTCATGTCTAGGCATAGAATTTGCTACAATTGCACGGAAAGACATGACAAGGTGGATGGCCTGCTGGTCGTGAAAGCCTGGTCGGTGCTGTTCTGCTAGACCGCCCGCGGGACCGCGTCTTCGAAGTACCCGCAGAACATGGGAAAGAGAGCACCTCCATTCTATTCCCATGTACAGAGCTGGCATGCGTTAACTCATGCCCAGGCGACGCACGTCTTCG